CATACATTCTGTTTTAGTTCAGAAGTATATTTTGGTTCAACATAGAATTCTAGGTTGCACTTGTTTCTTTGAAATCATAAGCTTTTTGACAACTCCCCTTCTGATTTCCATTGTTCCTCTTGCAAAGGCAACTGGCAGCATTATTGTTGCCCCTTTGAATGTAATCAGTTTTATATTTCCTCTTGCCCTTCTTTGGAGTTTAGTGGTTTCTCTTTGGCGTTTAGTGGTTTTGCTATGATGATGCTGGTATGATTTTCTTTGGTTTCACTCCTCCTTTTAAAAAAACGCTGCTTTTCCTTAGCTTCTGTGATGCCAGCATGCCCTGGTTTTATTCTCCATCTCTTTTTCTGCGTTCTCCTCTTCTGTCTGACCTTTACATCTCAAGTTGTGCTGCTGATTCTACCTCACACTGACTCAAGGTGTTGGGAGTTTTGATCCATGGGATTATGGGTCTAACAAGAGATGCACAGTGGACATCAGCTCATTAGATCATCTGAAATTGTCATTAGGGAGGAGGGTGGACATAGGATGCTGGGTGACTAAACTCTGCTGCCAGCCAATGTAGAACCTCTTTACAGGGTAAGTGGAGGTAGCAGTGTCTGGCTGAGAGATAATGTCCAGAGCTAAGGGGGCCTGAAGGGAAAGAACCCCATCCAACACTGGACTTTCAGGTCTAATGGCCTTGAACTCTACTTCATATTCAGTCAGCTGCTGTACAATGATAGTACAGACCTTGCCAGCTCTCCACAATATTTCTTATCTCTAACATCTTTTTTTTTGGTGGGTCTGGGGTTTGAACTCGGGACTTTGCGCTTGCAAAGCAGGATCTCTACCACTTGAGCCATGCCTCCAGTCCATTTTGCTCTGGTTACTTTGAAGATGGGGGTCTCATGAGGTATTTATGTGGATTGGCCTTGAACTTAGATCCTCCCGATCTCAGCCTCCCAAGTAGCTAGAATTACAGACGTGAGCCCAGCTATCTCTTGACATCTTCAAGCCTACCCTCCTGTTCTGGCAGCCAGGACTCCTGTCTACCCTTCTGGTGTGTGTCACTCCTGTCTTACTGCTCTGCAGTCTTCATTATCCCATTCAGATCTTTGACCCTGCAACTTAATACCACCACCAACGACAGCTGTCACTTGTGAGCTTTTCTACCTGCCAGGCAGCACGCAGTGCTGTACATGTACTGTCTCATTTTGCTTGGTGGCACTGAGGTTTGAACTCAGGGCTTCATGCTTGCTAGGCAGGTGCAATACCACTTGAACCACTCTGCCAGCCCTTTTGTGTGTTGGATATTTTCAAGATAGGGTCTTGCAAACTGTCTGCCTGGCTCTGGCTTTGAACTGCGATCCTCCTGATCTCTGCCTCCTGAGTAGCTAGGATCACACATGTGAACCACCAGTGCTTGTCATCACTTTTGATTTTTAACTCTTTTTCCACAGGAATGGAGTTTGAACTCAGGGCTTTACACTTGAAAAGCTTTTGAGCCACAGCTCAAGTCCTAAACTACCTCGTTTAACCCTAGTAGGTCATTAGTACTATTTGTTGTTAGTATTCTCAGCCACTCAAGCACGAATGGATTCAGTGGCTTGCCCAGCAAGTGCCAAAGAGACTTCAACCTGGGTGAGATGACCCCAGAAACAGTGCTCTGAGTCAGTTTCTGCAAAGCTTCCAATGTCCTCTTGCCTTGTGTTCTTCCCTGGACTCTTGTGGGCTTTACCTTCAGTCTCTGACTTCATGGGGAAGTAGGAGCTAACAGTTTCGCACCTCACCACCTCCCTCAAAATATTTTTCTCTGTTGGGTCACAATAGCAGTTCCCAGCCACTACCTGCCCTCTGCTTTCCATGCCTGTCAGTCAGACTTTCAGAGACTAAACACAGTCTTCCTTAGCCAATTTTCAGGAATAATCATGAATATACTCTTGAAATAAAAACATTGTATTGGAGAGGGTGGTTTTCATAGCTTTGGAATATTTTAGGGGTGCTTTTGTTGAATGGTCATCATGCATTTTCCAGAGTTGTCCATTTGCCTCTTTGACCATAGGAGCTGGATAGAGGCTCCTGGACTAAGGAAGACATAGGGAGAACTCTGCTGTATCATGGCCAGGATGCTGCTGCTAGAGGGGAAGGAGACTGGGTGGGCAGAAGGGGAGACCGAGAGAATGAAACGATTATTTATGAACATCTTATTCAAGAATCTATTCATTACTTGGGAGGTTGAGAATGGAAGGATTGCGGTTCAAGGCCAGCCCAAGGCAAATAGTTCATGAGACCCCTCTCCAAAATAGCCAGAGCCAAATGGACTGGAGGTGTGGCCCGAGTGGTAGAGTGTCGGCTTTGCAAGTGTGGAGCCCTGAGTTCAAACCCTAGTCCCACCAAAAAAAAAAAAAAGAATCTATTCATGTATGCTTATAAATATATCAAGGCACAACCCATTCATTGACTTTCTATTCATGAAAAATACATTCTATACTTGAGCATAGTTAATATCTTGAATGTTCTTTAGCTTGATCTTTCTCTTTTCTCTCTCTCTCTCTCTCTCTCTCTCTCTCTCTCTCCTACCCCACCTCTCTCTGAGACAGAGTCTCACTATGCCTTCTGTCTCAGACTCGTTAGTGCTGGGATTACAGGAGTGTACCACCATTCCCAGCTCAGATATTTCTTGCAAATGGAAAGACAGTAATGATGAATCTATTTTAGGGGTGGACACCCTGCTGACCCCCTCTCTGTGAGCAGTAGCCTTGGCCCTGTTGTCAAATAACTCTTCTCAACAGGGACCTGAGGCAGAGACAAATGGAATAGTCCTGAAATGCTGTTAGTAACTTGCTTTCGATGAATTTGCTTTTGACAAATGAGTAGGCAGCTTATGAGTTGCCTGGATTTCTCCATGTGTTGTTAGTGAAGTCCATTATAAAGGACCAAATGGAAGTCCTTGCTTGTGCCCCTGTCTCTGTATGCACACCACTATTTATGCCTTGTACAGCCCAGAGTGTGACCATCCTCCTGGGTCTCACAGGGCAGCAGCCCAGCCTTTCTGTGGACTCCATGACACTCCATGAAAAGTCACCACTGCTGGCTTAGGCCAGACCTTCCTCTGTTCTCCCCTGAATGACAGACCCAGAGCCTCCTTTTTGGCAGCCTGGCTTCTGTCCTTTTGGCCTGTCCTTCATGGTACTCAAATGAGGAAATTCAAAAAAGTTTTTCAGTTATGAAACATTTCAAGCCCATAGAAAATGTAGAGAACAGTGTAATCAACAGCCTTGACTTCTCAAGTTTTAACATTTGCTTCAATTTTTTTTGGTGGTACTGGGAGTTGAACTCAGGGCCTTGCGCTTGCTAGGCATGCTCTCTTCCACTTGAACTATTCCCCTAGCATTCCTTTTTTTTTTGCTTTAGTTATCTTTGGGATAGGGTCTCTTGTTTTTGCCTGGGACCAGCCTGGACAGTGATCCTCCTGTTTATGTTTCTGTCATAGTTGGGATGGCCGGTGTGTGCCACCATGCCTAGCTGGTTGATTGAGATAGAGATCTTGCTAACTTTTTGTCTGGGCTTGTCTCAAACTGTGATCCTCCAGATCTCCATCTTCTGAGTAGTGAGGATTACAGGCATGAACCTGTAATTTCAAGTGCCCAGCTGCTTCAATTTTTTTTTAAGAACTCAACCTTTGAAAGATTTAGTTGGACAGGCTGGGGATGTGTCTCAGTGATAGAGTGCTTGCCTAGCATGAGTTCCATTCCCAATACTGCAAAAGTAATTTTAAAAAAGATTTAATTGGAGCTCTCTCATTACACCTTTTCCCAACCCCTGTTCACTGCCCTTACTACCCTCATTTTGGTGCTTATCTTTTCCATGTATGTTTCTTGTTTTTATACACAACAAGTAGTGGTGTTTTGCTTTTTTTTTTTCTTTTTTGTGGTACTGGGGCTTGAACTCAGGGCCTTCACCTTGAGACACTCCATCAGCCCTTTTTTGTGATGGTTTTTTTTGAAATAGGGTCTCGTGAACTATTTGCCTGGGCTGGCTTCGAACCGCGAACCTCCTGATCTCTGCCTCCTGAGTAATTAGGATTACAGGCGCGAGCCATCAGCACCCAGCTATGCTTGTGTTTTTTAAACATCTCTATTGAGTCATAATTTGCATATCATAAAATGCACCATTTTAACTACATTTTAGTGGTTTTCATTAAATTTAGTGAGTCATGTAACTGTTACCACAATCCAATTTTTGGTTTTGTTTAAACAACAGATTTATTGAGATCTAATTCATGCCCCATAAATTTCACCCATTTAAAGTATACAGTTCAATGGTTTTTACTGCTTAACAGTATTTTGTTTGTTTTTGGTGAGACTGGGGCTTGCAAAACAGGCCCTCTACTGCTTAAGCCATGCTTCCAGTCTGTTTTCTGCTGTGTAACCCATGCTTCTAGTCTAATTCAGTGGTTTTTAGTATATTCCCAGAATTGTTCAACCATCACTACTATCTAATTGCACAACATTTTCATCATCTCCAAAAGAAACCCCATCCCCCAACGCCCAGCCCGTGGGTACCCACTCATCTGTCCCTATCTCTATGGACATGGCAAATGAATGGAATCATACATTATGTGGTCTTTTGCGACCACTCAAGTCCCATAATAAAGATGGCTTTATGGAGTATCTCACTGCATGCTATACATTGCCCCTGTAATCTTCGTGGATTTTGATATCTAAACACAGATAGTTTAGATTTTCATTTCTACAACTTCTTCTCTGTGATGGTTTTTGGAAAGCTGTTACTAGAGAGTAGGTATATGTAAGATATGTCTGGATATCACGTGTGTGTGACTGATGTGTGTTTGGAGTATTCCTAGTCAGATCTAGAGGAGGAGGCTATCTTTGGAGTCCACGACAAGAGGAGGGAACCTGAGGAACTCAAGTCAAATCTATGTCCAGTGTGCTCACTACCAGCGTGAGCTCTGAGTAAGGTACTGAGAGAGTGTTACTTTCTCTCTTGCTCCCAAGGCAAGCATTGATGGAAGAACAGGTAAATGACCACCTTCAGGGGCATATGGATGAGATTTACTACCTCAAACAGCATCTGGCCTGCACTGAAGAGAAAATGGCCTGTCTGACCTATGAAAGAGACAAGGAAATATGGGTGAGAACCTCAGGGGGACAATCTGGGAGAAAAGGATAATAAGAAGATGTAGGAATGAACAAATCCATTTGAATTTGCCCCCAAACCAAGGAAGAGGTGGATTCTCCAGCTGTGCCCATCCTGAGGCACAGTGACAGTCGACACCTTTGTTTCAGAGTTAGCAGTGTCCTGTCTTTTATGTCTATATGAGCTCCACTTCCCACCATCCAGCTTAGCTGCTTTGGGACCTTTGGTGCTATGGTTCTCAACCCTTGAGAGCAATCACTGGGAGCTGCTGGGGATGCTTGTGTTGCTGGAGCAGGGAAGTCCTCTGAGAACCCCTCCTTTAAACATAGCTTCCTGCCTCTCACTCTCTTCCACCCCTGTTATCTCTTACTCCTGTCCTTAGCCCTGTCCCAAGCAGGTCCTCAGTTTCAGGAGGCAGTGCCTGGGGACCAAGGCTGAGTCAGCAGCTTGACCCTCCCCAGTACCTCTTGGCCTCTGCTGTGCATACAGTGGAAGTTCCCTATGCCTCTCCTAAAAGAGTCAACTCAACAATATTTGTTACACATTCCCTAGCAACTCGATTGCATAACCACAGTTCTGCTCTGATTTCTGATGAGTGTGTGTGTTTGTTGCCTGCAGGAGGTCATAGAGACTTTCAAGAGCCGAATATCCAAGCTAGAAACTCTACAGCAAGTCAATCAACTGGAGACAATGGCGAACCTCAGAAGCTGTCCCCAGGAGTTTTTGTTCCGATTCATAAGCCTGCTCCTCACACTGACCAGCATCCTCTTGGTCTTTGTCTTCACTGTGTGCTCCTGCCCCTTACCCCTGATCAACTCGCGCCTGTGTACATGCACTGCAGTTATGCTGCTTGGCCTTGGGGCATTGGCCTGGCAGAAGCTGCATACCATGGGCTGGCAGACGTGGGTCCCCGCCAGGTGGAGACTGGACACCAAGGACTCTAAGCCTTCATCAGATGGACCTTAAGGGGCCGACTATGCCACCTGCCTGTTTGCTAGTTCCCTCCCTCCTTCTGGGTGTCGAGGTCATCCAGTGAGTTCCCTGTAAAGGGCCACTTTGCGGCTCTCACTTTCTGATTCTGTAATCACCAGTCCAATGAGACAGGTGCAGGTGTTCACCTGCCTCCCGTCTCCATGTTGCCTTCCATGCCATCTGAAGACATGAGATTTGAAAATGATTAAACTCCACAATGTTCTGTTCTGCTCTTTATGTCCCGTGAACCCTCTTGAGGTGTGGGGCCTAAACACCCAAAGAGGCTCATGTGTCCCCAAGCTGTAGTAGCAGCCACTGAGACGTTGGTTTGGGCAAAGAGAAATTGCATTTATTTCACATGGATGGAGAAGAAGGTAGGGGAGAGGTAGCCAAAGCCTCAGAGGGTGGGACAGGTAGGAGGCAGATCTCAGGCAGGTGATACTGAAGAGACAGATGAGGCCTCCGTTTTGGAGGTGCTGGAGAGTTCAGAGCTATCATCAACCTTCTTCCCAAAAAGCTGCAAGATGCAATTTCGAAACTGGAAGGACAGAAAGCTAAGTTATTCAGCAAGGCAGGAAAGGCAAGTGTGCTGTGCTACAGGGATGGTATTAAGTGTTGCTTTGATTACTCAATCCCTTCCTATTTAACAGTACTATCTGTAGGATGGGGAAAGGCTCAGGTCATTCTTTGCATATTGGGATGGTCATCTGAGTTATCTAATTTAGCAGTTGATGGTGACTGTTGCATATTGAATTGTGTCCCCCAAAAGACATGTTCAAGTCCTAACTCGTAGAACCTGTGAATGTGTCCTTATTCAGAAATAGGGTCTGAGTCAACGCCCTGTAGAGCTATCCTTATCTCAACCAGCAAAACCCCTTGTTCCTTCCTATTATTGCTTATACTCTCTCTACAACAAAATTAGAGATAAGGGCAAAATAGTTTCTGCTGGGTATTGAGGGGGTGGGGGGGAGAGGGAGGGGGCGGAGTGGGTGGTAAGGGAGGGGGTGGGGGCAGGGGGGAGAAATGACCCAAGCCTTATGCACATATGAATAATAAAATTAAAAAAAAAAGAACTAGGGTCTTTGCACATGTCATTAAGATGCACGTTACGATGGGGGTCATACTGGATTAGTGTTGACCCCAATGCAATGACTGGTATTCTTACAGGAAGAGGAATATTTGGACACAGCTACACATACACAGAGAGAAGAGGTCATGTGAAGATGAAGGCAGAAATTAGAGTAATGCATCTTTGAGTCAGGGAATACCAACGATTGCCAGAAAACCCCAGAAGCTAGGAGAGGGGCACAGGACTGATTTTCTTTCAGCACCTCAAGAGGGAACCAACTTTGATTTCAGACATCTGACCTCAAAACAACTGTGAAAGGTTCAGATCCTGTTGTTTTAAGTCACCAAGTGTGTGATAGTTTGTTGTGGCAACCCCAGGATACTTATGCAGTGACCAAACACAATGCCAGCTAAGAGGCCCATGCATACAGCAACCCATCTCCCAAACATCTTACAAGAGGCTCAGGGGCATCTTAGTGAACAGGTGATGCCATCTTATTTCTTGCCCATCAACTTCAGGGCAAGCTGAAGTGGTAGAGGCTTGCCTTGCATGCATGAGGCCCTGGCTTCAATCCCAGCACCATACACACACACACAAAAGAAATGTTCAATCCATTTTTGATGCCCAGTGTGGTGGCAAATGTCTGTAATCCCAGCACTTGGGAGGTTGAGCCAGGAGGATAAAGAGTTCAGAGGCTGCCTGGGCTACATAATGAATTCAAGGCCAGCCTGGCTACATAGTGAGATCCTGTCTCAAAAAAAATGGAGGGGGATCAAGATAAGAACTAGGGCAACAATAGTCTAACAGTCCAACCCCTCCCTCATCTCTTCATCCAAGAAAGTCTTGTGGTACCAGGAGGGGGTCTTCTCTTTGTCAGTTGACCCCTGAAGAGATTTGGGTTATATTAATTTCTTAGTTATGGCTGACATCATCACTGAAGTAACCACAGAGCTTGGAGAACCCACACCAGAAGCAACCCTAAATATTTTGGACCTATTCTTTTTAATGTATTTTTTAGATGAGATTAACATTTAAGCGCACCTATTAATTTCCTTCCTCCCTCCCTCCCTCCTTTCCTTTTTGGTGGTACTGCAGAATGAAGTCAAGGTCTTGAGTGTGTCAGGCAAGTGCTCTACTCTAGTACTCCTTGGGCTGTCCTCCTGTCCACTTTGCTTTTCGTTTGTTTTTCAGAGTCTGGTGATAACTTTTGCCTGGTCAGGCCTTGGACTGCAATCCTATCTCCATGCCTCAGGTAGCTGGAATTACATACGTGCATCCTACACCCGACTTTTTGTTGTTGTTTTTGGAGCTAAGTTCTCGCTAACTTTTGCCCAGGCTATCCGTGAACCATGAGCCTCCTAGCTGCATCTCCTGAGTAGCTAGGCTTTCAAGCCTGTTCTTAAGTATCTCCACCTTCCTCTACCATCAAAACACTCAAAAATTTCAAAAACCTAATTGTTGAAATTAATGATGTAAGACATGGGCAGAATAGTAGAATGGACTTGGCTGAAGAGCTGGCAGGTGAGGCTGATGAATTTATTCAACGAATTCAACATCTACTTACTGAGCACTCCCTATATGTCAGCCTCTGTGTTCTAGAAGGCTATAGCAGTGAGCAAGAAAAGCAAAATCCCCTTTCCTCGTGGAATTTCATTCTAGAATGGTGTTGCTTACCTGCCGGTTCATAAAGACGTAGATGATGGGGTTGTAGATGGTGGCGCTTTTGGCAAAGTAGGCTGGTAGGGAGGCCAGAAGAGGGTGGAAAGCATAACCAGGGTGGGCAGTTGCAAAGCATGCAAAGAAGGTGTAGGGCCCCCAGCAGAGGCAGTATGCAAAAACCATCACCACCACCATGCGTGTCACCTCCTTCTCAGCCTTCTGGGTGGACTCAGATTCTTTCTGCTGCTTTGCCACCTAGGGGAGACAGGGCAGTGAGTGGGGTAGTCACCCAGACCTTTCAGTATCTGAAAGGACTCTGTTGCTATTGCTCAGGCAGTGATTCAGGGAGGCAGCAAGGAGGGTAACCTGGGGTTGGGGCGTTGTGAGGGAGGTTTGGAGGTTTTAAGATAACAAGCAGCTGGCTTGGCCAAGGATGACCCTCAGGGCCAGGCCAGGTCTCTCTCTTTCTTTTTTTTTTTTTTTTTGGTGGTATTGGACTTTGAGCTCATGCTTGCTAGGCAGGTACCACTTGAGCCACTCCACCAGCCCTGTTTTATGTTGGGTATTTTCGAGATAGGGTCTTACGAATTATTTTGCCCGGGCTGGCTTCGAACCGTGATCCTCCTTATCTCTGTCTCTTGTGTAGCTAGGATTACAGGTGTGAGCTACTGGTGCTTGGCTAGGGTCAGGTCTTTGAAGCCAAAAAAGGCTTCAAAGTCCTAGCCTGCCAGGACTTGGGAAGGAGAACTGGGGAGGCCGATATTAGCCTCATCTGAGCCCTTCCTTATCAGAGCACCTCTTCCTATGCTCAGATTTGAGCATTGAGGCCTAAAGAGATCACTGGAAAGCTGAGAATGAAAGAGCTGTTAACAGATGGCACACAGAGATGGGGCTAATGGCAGATGAGGTGATAACAGGGACAATTAGTGTGCGTGAAGACACGAGGGGAACACAGCTCAGCACCACAGTTCTACATGATGGAAAATGGCGGGGAGGTGAAAGAAGTTGGGGTTGCTTTAGCTAACCAGGGGCTGGCAGGGTGACTAATGGCAGTGCAAGAGCCATGCATAGAATTCTCAGGCTTTCTAGAGCAGGATTGGCCAGCCTATGGACAGGGGCCAGCTACTGCCTGCCACGGACGGACGGATAGCAGGCAGCTAGCTAAATGGGGATGGAGGAGGAACTGTGGGGGCTGGAGTCTGGGGAGGGCTGGGACAGCAGGGAGGGACTGCACCAGCACAGAGCTAATAGCACTGAAGCCATGGTTTGATACTTGTGGGAACCAGCTAAGTTGGTTCTGATAGGTGACCACCAGCCTGGGAGATCAAATTGCAGCCTTTAGCTCAAGGCAGTGAAGTGAGTGGAGCTTATCGCATGGCCCCATCTAGAAAGAGCTGTTCATTGTAAGCACCTGCTGATCCAGTCGTGCGCACAGCAACCTCATATAGGAAATAGGAAAGGCACCACCCTAAAGGGACTTCTGCCACCTGTGTTAGGCAAAGTCCCAGCAATGAACAGATGGCACATGGAGATGGAGCTAATGGAAGGGGAGTTGGTTGACAAAGGGATAACTCATGGTGTGTATGTGGAAACCCAGAACCTCAGCATCTCGGGACCCAACCTCACTCTCCTCTCTTGCTCTGATTTCCTGCAGGAGCTCCCCAGTGTCACCCAGCCTGAGGTGGGGTGAGGAAGGGGTGGTGCCTGTGAACAGAATCAGCTTCCCAGGGTGGAGCACCAGACACAGAAGAGTGGAGAGCAGGCCTAGCGGGCAAATGGCCTGTGAAGGGGACGAGGGTGCTCTGGTGGCTCCACTTTATGGGAGAACTGTCCCGAGTCAGAAGAAAGACACAGATGTGCTCCTTCATCATGATCCTTTAGGAAGCAGCAGGCAGTCCCTTCCCATCCCACAGAAGTGAGGACAGTGCAAGGACCCCAACTGTGTCCCCAAAGGGACTGCCTGATCACATCTCTGGGCCTTAATATTTTCTTATAGGGTGGAATCCTCTTATCTGAGGATTTTAAAAAGCAGCTTAAGAAACTCAGTGGACAGATTTGGAAGCAAAGCAGCTTGGAGACGGGACAGTGCACCGGGTGATCCTTTGTCCCCACCTAGACATTCTGTCAGCCCGGGATGAGGCAGGAGGGTGAGGGGCTTACTGCTCGGATGGCCAGCCACACTTGGAGGTAGCAGAGCACAATGATGCTGAGCGGGATGATGCAGCACGTGACCATGAGGACCATCATGTAAGACTGCACCCCAGGGTACGAGGTGCCGCTGAACACATCTGGGCCACACGACGTCTTCAGGCCATGAGGCCAGTACCTGAAGAGAGGGGCCAGGAGTCCATCATGACGCAGACTAGGGCAACCCAGGACCCCCAGCCCAGCCCACGCATGCCCCTGACCTGGGTCACAGGTTTGGGGGCTTTTCTGTTTTTGGTGGTACTGGAGTTTGAACTCAGGGCCTTGCACTTGCTGGGCAAGTGCTTTACCTACCACTTAATCCATGTCCCCAGCCCACAGTATTTTTAAATGGAGGTGAAATTCACATTACATCAATTTTTTTTTGCAGTACTGGGGTTTGAACTCAGGGCCTCGCGCTTGCTAGGCAGGCGCTCTACCACTTGAGCCACTCCACCAGCCCTGCATTTCGCAGTGGTGAACAATTCAGTGGTACTTCATACATTTGCAGTGTTGTGTAACCATCACCCAAAACACAGCCCTCAGGTATGGCTTTGTTAAGTTCCTCTCCGTTGATAGGCGTCACACCTCCTCTCCCTCTCTTTTCTTTTATTGTGGTAAGATACACGTAAGCTTTGCCATTAAGGCTGGAGGCGCTCAAGCAGTAGAGCACCTACTTTGCAAGCATGAAGCCCCGAGTTCAAATACCAGTCTCACCAAAAAAACATTTGCCATTGTGACATTGACACATTCACAATGTTGTGCGACTAACAGCACTATTTGGCTCCAAAATTTCTTTCTTTCTTCTTTCTTCTCCTTCTTTCTCTTCCTTCCTTCCTTCCTCCCTCCCTCCCTGCCTCCTTCCTTCCTTCCCTCTCTCCTTTACTCTCTCACTCCTTCCTTCATTCTCCTTCCTTCTTTCCTTCTGTCTTTCCTCCCTTGATCCCTTCCTTCCTTCCTTTTTTTCTTTCTTTTTTATTGTTGTGCTGGGTGGGGGTACAGTGTGGCATCTACAAAGGTTCTTACAATGTATCAGATATATCTTACTTGAATTCCCTCACTCCACTGCTCTCCCCCATGTCCCCAACCCTGATTCCTGGAACAGTTTCAACAGGTATCATTTTTGCATTTACATACATGTGTGCACATTGTTTGCACCATATTCACCCTCCTACCCCTCCCTCCCCACCAGCAGAAGATAAAAAGAGAAACGTGTTTTTGTTAGTTTGAGATAAAGATGGCTACACAAGGATTTTCCTTGTGTTGTTTCCATGCACATATGTGTTATAACCACGATTGGTTCATCTCCACCAGTCCTCTTCACTCCTCCCTAGTCCACTTCCCATGGTGGCCCCGGCCAGCTTAAGATTTCTATATTCATCCTGTACACTGAGCACATCAACCTCATTCAAGGTTTTCGTTTCCTTCCCTTGCCCTATCCCTCCTGTATGCAGACTCCCCTTTGTGTGTGACCCATGTCCCATAATATCCCTGCATTTGTTTTGGGTTTATAATCTCCATATGAGAGAGAACATGGGGCTTTTGACTTTCTGGGCCAGGCTAACCTCGCTCAGGATGGTGTTCTCCAGTTCCATCCATTTACTTGCGAATGACAAAATTTCATTCTTCTTTGTGACTGAGTAAAATTCCATTGTGTAGAGATACCACATTTTCTAAATCCATTCGTCAGTAGTGGGGCATCTTGGCTGTTTCCATGGCTCCACTATTGTGAATAGCACTGCAATAAACATGGTCTCACGACATAGCCCAGGCTGGCCTTAAACTTATGATCCTCCTACCTCCGCCTCTTGAGTGCTGGGATTACAGGCATGGGCCACTGTGCCCAACTTGGTTCCAGAATATTTTCCTCACTCCATCACACCGTCTTTTTCCAAATGAAGGGTGAGGCTTCCTCTTGCTCTGATCTTCTAAGAACGTTCATGAATACATGAATCTTTTCTTCCCGAGACCAAGTAGGCTATGACTAATAAAGGGACTTGCTCACTGAGCAGCTGTGAGCCTCCACCAGAGCCGGCACTCAGCCATGTTCAATGATGGGCAGCTGTCGTGGGGCCTGGTGGCTAAGCTTCCCAAAGACCGAGCATTCCCTCTCCAAATGCCACAGGAACTCATTCTCGAGATTGACAGGTAAGACAGTGTGCACCCCCCTAAACATCGGCACCATTTACTCATAAATTCCAGCCTTTCCCCAAAGAATCGGTCTGTCCATCCGTGACGGAAGATCATTCCAGTTGCTATTAAGATCCTCCATCCCAAGAAGCCTCCAAAGGTGGCAAGGCAAGATGTGTGGGAAACAGGCCTGGCACTGAGCTGGCCAGAGGGCCCGGGAAACCAGACGTGTCCTGCATTCACGTGCGCCTGTGTGGATGTCCTGCGAGCTGCTCGTAATCGAGAGAAACAGCTTTCTGGAAACTGGGGACCACAGGGCCCCTTTCCATTCTGTGGCCAAACAGATTCCTACATTTATACACATTGTGCACGTGAAGGAGCCTGGGGAGAGTCTACCCATCTTTTTGCTTTTATGCAAGGAGCCATAGAGGCCCAGAAACAGGAAGTGATTTGCCCAAGCTCACAAAGTCTGATCCTGCTCGCTAGATCCTAAAGGAACCACCTTCTTAGTAACCTTCACCCTTACCTGCTCCAACCAAAGATAGGTGGGGCTGTCCACACAGCAGCCCAGACCCAGGAGAAGGCAATGCCCACGATGGCCAGCTTGGCGTCAAATCTCATGTTGCCGAAGGGCTTGCAGACCACCAGCCACCTCTCCCAGGAGATGATGGCCAGGGACCAGAGGCCTGTGATCCCTACGGAGGAAAGAGCAGACAAAGGAGGGCGTCAAGCAAAGGAGAAACAGCAGGGAGTATCATCCCATGCCGGCCGACAGCTTGCAGGATGAAGACTTTTCCCTTCCTAGCAGCCAAACTGACTTCTCTAAGAAGTGTTTTCAGGTCCGGGGTCCAGTGGGCCTCTTGGTTAATGGCCAGGTTTTCATTGGACTTCTCCGACACCTTGCTTCTCATTTTCCATCCCCATCTCTGCTGGCCTCTTCCTGTGCCTTGCTTCCCCCCTGAACTCAGCCGCTTCATTTCTTCCCCAGTTTTTCTGCTCTCTTCCCTCTTTCTGGCCTTCCTCTTAACCTCAAATGCGTTCCCTCTGGAGTGGAGCTCCAGTTTCATGCCAATCCAGTCATGGTATCCTGAGGCTGAGAACTTAGAACGCCCAGAGCTCTCTCCTCAACTTCTACTCCCTGTCTCCAAAGAGGAGGCAAGAAAGAGCTATGGTAGCCAATGGCCCTGTGTGTGGTCACCGCAGAGACCCTGTTGGCACTGTATCTCTTGCCATCATGGCTACCATCCCTTTCTTTCTCTGATGCCATTGATGGCCATGTGTACAGAGATGCTTTTATCCCAGCCAAGAGCAAGGACACAGGACATGTCTAGTAACCTGTGCCCCGCCAGCCAGTTCACATTGCCCTTAGGTTGTTTCTGAACTTCTTGGGCTCCCCCATGGTTTGGAAGCTGAGATAGCTTCCTGCCTCTTGCCTGTGCCCCAAACGTCCATGCACGGGATTCAGGGCTCCATGAACTGGGTTGTAAAAAGAAACATCTTTCATTCCACTAACCTCTAAGGGACATTTGGTATTTCCTTCATTGTGAACGTGGCTGTATTGGCAGGACCTCTGATTTGGTCAGCCAAAGAAGGACAGATGTTTTTACATCACTCTACAGAGGTGGAAGAGCTCACAAAAGATTGCTCCTGTTCATTACTAACCGAAGTTTTGGTACTTGTCAGATTACATCCTGTTACTTAATACTTTAGAACAGAACAGTATGCTTACCACTTTTAATAAATACTTTTAATGTTAATACTTTTAGCAAAAGACTGTGTCACTAATTAATATTTCAACTTTGATAACTATGTTTCAATACACCTGGCTGCCTTTGTAATCCTATGGTCTCATTTCTGCATTTACAGCCATCCCCAGAGGGCCTAGGGTAGCTCTAAAACTGCACTGACTGCCTGGCACCTCAGCAACTCAAGAACACAGGCAAAGGCGAGAGGAGGGACTGGTAGAAGTAGAGATGGTCATGGGGAGGGAGGGATGCAGGGGGCCTCTCTGGAGGGGCCATGAGACCACCAAGGCACACAGTTGCCATTAAGGACACTTGGACTTTCTCTTTCTCTCTCTGTTTTTCTGGTACTGGCGGTTGAACTCAGGGCCTCATGCTTGCTAGGCAGGTGCTCTACTGCTTGAACAACTCCTCCAGCCCTGTTTTGTGATGGGTTTTTTGAGATAGGGTCTCTCGAACTATTTGCCAAGGCTGTCTTTGACCAAGATCCTCCTCATCTCTGCCTCCTGAGTAGCTAGGATTACAGGTGTGAGCCACTGGCGTCCAGCAACGTTCTCTTTTTGACCTTCCCCAGTGATGCCATTTCTATCCTTCTGGGAGAGCTTTGGCCAGCACCTCCTTTGGTCTGAGCCATCATCTGCCCAATGAGAGCAGTTAGGTTGGGGGTGGGTGGCAGAAAGAATGGCAAGGAGACAAGAGTAAGAGTGACTTTTGTCGCTTGTTAGGTGCCTGGCTAGATGAGTGGGGCCCTTAGTGGCTCTCCCATCTCTAGACTCCTCCTCTCAAAATGAAGTCTTTGCTCCTGAGGATGGCACACAATACCTCGGCCTGCCTGCCTCATGTCCGCTCAACAGAGCCATGCTGCTCGCTGGTACCGCCAGCCCCCCGAGCCGCCAGCTGTTCCTGGTCTCTCCTCATCACCTTCTCTTCTGAGAGGACTAATGGGGCACTGTGTAGTCACTATCTGGGTACAGGGCCCCTTCCCAGCACAGAGGTACTTTTTGGCCACTATTCATTGAACTAAGCAAATTGTGACCCAGAGGTATTAGTGATGGGGACAAAGAAAGGGATCTGGGATCTAGTCTTAATATCCTGAAAGTTCTAATGGGGAATTGTGTCTTTCCCTAAGGAAACTCACACAGTGTGGGCAACCAGCAGGTGATGTAGGGACAGGATGACAGCATGTGTGTCCCTGATTTGGTTGGGAGTTCTGTCCAAGGTGCCCAAAGCCCCTCTCTACCATACTGTTCTAGATTATTTGAGTCAAGATCTGTCTTCCCCCGTGTGAGCCTCACAGTCCCACTGGCTGTCCCCAGGCAGAGCCTGTCTCAAAAGTAGAGACAAGACGCAGGGTGTGTTGGACTCAAGCAAACTGAGTTTAAAGTGAGTGCTCAGATGGAAGCCTCCAGAACCCTGTAAGCCTGTCCTCCCACCCGTGATGACCTTGGCCCAGCTTCTCCTGGGTCTATCTCCCTTCACACTTGAGCCTCACACATGTGAATCGTGGCTGCCTTTCCGGGTTTGCCGTGTGAAGGTTTTTGTTTTGTTTTGTTTTGTTTTTTAATGCACATCAAGGTCTCCTACAGCTTACCACACAGGGAAACAGTGTAGCCCTCCACAACACAGAGAGGGTAGCCCAGCACAAAGTAGCCGTAGACCTGGTTCACAACACTGATAGTGCTGGCGATGATGGTCTCTGCTAGGTCAGCGACTGCCAAGTTCACCAGGATCCAGTTCAGAGGGTGGCGCAGCTTCTTAAACTTCATGGTGGCCACCAACACAAGCCCATTAGTGAAGACAGACGCAATGACCACGAGAATCATCCAGAGGCTGGTGAGGTGGTACACCCATCTGGGAGCAATGTGGTAATTGGGGCCTTCAAAGGGGCCTAGAGGCAAGAGGTACAGAATAGAGAGAGGAGCTGGGCAGCAGCATCGCCAACCCATGTGGACACCCTGATCCCACCTTTCCCAGATCTCAGAGAGCCCCCTGAAAGCATTAGGATGATCCCGAATCCGATAGGACTGTGGTCCTTATCAAAAGGGACATTTGAACACCCACTGAGAAGGCCATTTGAAGACAGAGATCAGGGTGATGCGTCCACAAGCCAAGGAATACCACAGGCTGCCATCAGTCACCAGCAGCTACTAGAGGCATGGGACAAATTCTCCCTTAGAGCCATCAGTAGGAACCAACCCTGCAGACACCTTGATCACAGACTTCTGGCCTCCATAACTGTGACATAATACATTTCTATTGTTCCACCACTCGGATAGTGGCACTTTTTCATGGCATCCCTAGCAACCTCATACAGAATAAAAGGAGGAATAACTCATCTTTATTATGACACCGAGGCCAACAACCTTTTCATGTTGGAAAGAACTTCTCTGCCATAATCATTTTGACAAAATACTTGGAGTATTTACAAGTTCCAGTCTCTGTTTCCATATAATAAGGCCTCATGGTGCCTAGGAAAACATACACAGAAAGCCCCTGGACTTAGCAAGATTCTTTAGTTGTGTGTTACAAAAACCCAACCCAAAGTAGCTTAAGAAAAACAAGGCTCTCTTGGCTGTGGCCAGGAGGGATGGGTAAATCTCACCCTCAGCACGACTGGACCCCATGACGCCCCAGTTTTGCTCTTTGCATGGGCTCCATTTCTTCCTAACACAGGGAGCTCCCACAAACCCTGCACAGAATTCCCATGAACTCGAATATGAGCATTAGGACAGACCATTGACAACCCAAGACCTATGTGGTCTCAGTCTCTCTGCATAAGGGAGTAGGGTGAAGCAATGGGGCTGCTGACAGACCTGAGAACAAAGAACCCCCAAACTGTCAATAGATCTTCCCCGGAAAGTACAGCAGGTTAACCGGAAAAGAGCAGTTGAAACTGGGAGGTGTTTGGAACACTCCAGTTTGCGGGCATGGGAAGGGGTTGGAACAATCTAGATGCTACAGCCTTTCAAAATAAGGCAGCTAGTGCCCTTCCTGGACAAATCTGTGGAGCTCAAACTGGGCAGGGGAGGGACAAGAGGGGCAAAGGAGGGACCAGGGCCAAGCAGCTGTGGGGTTGGGGAGGAGCCTCTAGCCGTGCCTCCAGTGCAGGTGTCCTGGCCTGCCTCACCCTCCTGAAAGTTCTAGAACTGGTTTCATGAAGAAATGAGCAAGAGAAAGGTATGAAAAGGCAACTCCCAGGCAAAATGTTTCTATGAAATGCAAGGAGGAAGGGAGTTTTATGGAATGGGGGCAGGGAAGCTGGACTTCTTTAAATCCATCTCTGTTGTAGATTGTACTTTGGAACCCTATAAATAATTCATTACATAATTTTGAAATAAAATTTAAATTTAAAAATCAGTCTTTGATTATGAAAAACAAAACGAGTGAGTGAGAATGCATAGCCACTCAGTGGTATAGCCCTACAGACAGAGGCTACTCTAAGGCACTGAAAGCATGCTGGCTTGTCTGTAAGACCCAGGGGCACATTCTCTGAGGATTAAAAGACCCTACAAACGTTAGGGTTTTGGTGGTATTGAGATGATTTTGTGTGTTGCGAGATACAGAAAATGGGTGATTACACGATATTCAATTCTAATTCCTTGAGAACAGGATTCTTAGTGGGAGGAAAAGGAGACACAGATGTCAAACCCATGGCCTCCACCGGTGAACCAAATCATTATTTTGAGAATGGAGACATAAAAGGATAAAATCTAGCACTTATCCTGCTTCTCATGCACACTGTACCCCTGGGGAGCCCAGTAGTAGAAACGGGCATATTTCTGTTTATCAAAGCAATCCAGCTAATAAATGAAGACAGAGTGAGGAGCCAGCATGTCATCATCCGACGCCCCCGGTGGCTTAATGGGTCTGGGCAATGAGTCTCAGCAAGTTCCAACACCTGAGAAAAGAGTTGGTCTTCTAATAAGTGGTCTTGCCAAGACCCACCCACGCACTAGCCTGCCTCTGGTCATATCACTGGGAGAAACGCAGTCAAACTCCTCTAGCTACCACTACTCTGTTAATTTAGAGAGCGAGTTTTGGAGGTCACACAGCTGGGCAATTTCCTACTAGCTTTGCTATAGATAACACTTTTGCCATGTGGATTGTGATAACAGTTGCCTAGGTTACTTTTCATGGACCCAAAGGCCACTTTTTCTGAAAACACTGATTCTTCACTTGGGCCTGTAGATATCCTCTGGGGGTTGGAATAGGAGAAGGTTTGGCATCTCTGTCTTCATATTGGGTCTATCTCCTTTGCTGCCTCAACATTTGGGTCAGATCCAACTCAACTCTGACTCTACTGTAGGCATGTTGAACATTTGAAAAATGTTTTGTCCAGAACTATAACACATGGTTAACTTGACCTAGGCTTGCCTAGTCTCTCTTTTCCCACTCAAGGCTTCCGACACCTACCAGCTACTGTGACTGGAAATACCATGCCATGAAAGTAGTAAAAAGAGGTGGCACCTGAGTTTCTAGAACAAGTTTGCCACCCAATTGCCCCATATCTGGCACAAGAAAGAAAACATCTTCAGCTTGCTCATGGCCAGTAAAAGTTACCCGACTACATAGGACATTTGATGATATTCGGTAAATATCATTACACTTTTAGGTGTGGTGATGTCCTCGTGGTTATATTTTTCAGCCCCTTTCTCTTAGAGTCATATACTGAAGATGCAAAGAAGAAAGAATGTGATGTCCTGAATTTGCTTCTAAGAATCAAGAGGAAAGAGCTACTGAAGAGGTCACGGATGAAATAAGACAGGAGCCTGTGACAGCTGAGTGATGAGGACCTGGGTCTGTTCTGTTCTTCCCTCTACTTCGGTACATGCTTAAATTTCACAAAAACTGAAGCCTCCGGTATTTGAAAATGGATGCCATGCCTCACTGGAGCCTTCAGGAAAAGCACTGTTGCATCACCGGCGAGGATTCTCTGGGGCACAAACGGTCACGTTAGGGTGAACTGCAGGAAACTCAGCAAGTTTGGCCTGATACCCCAGTTGCTAAACCCCTTGGTCTTGATTTCTGCATGGCAGAATATTGCTACCCCAAGGACGGGTTGAAGAGGTTTCAAGGAGGGACCTAGGGATAGAGGACAGAGATGGGGAAGGGATTCACTAGCATCCTCAGTCATCTGAAAGGGCCAACTCAAAGCTTTGTGCCCAGGGAACTCCCGAGGGCAGAACTCAGGCTGCCCTGATAAGTTTTTAGCTTTTGGTTGTTGTTTCCCAGGACTGCTCAAAACAAAAAGGCTGCCCTGGGCGCCAACCAGCTCTCCTCCCCGGCAGTGCGCAGCAGCCAAGGCTGTGTGCTCTGGGCATGGAGTGGACAAGATAACTGCTACAGTCTCTTCCAACCTTAAGTTTCTAGAAGTTGCTGACCCTCTGCTACTGCCTTTCCCAGGTTCCCTTTCCGGGCCGGCACCCTTGCCTGCCTGTCGAGCCTCCCCACCTCCCTTGCTGGGTCAGCATTTTGCTCCAGGCCACCTCTCCATCTTGCTAGCGGTTTTGGGAGGTGCAAAGACAGACCCGGCTTCTTTCCTGGGTAGCAACGGAAGCAGCGGCCAGATAGATGCCACCAATTTCATGTAATGAGAGCTCGCCAGAATCGTAGATTATCGAGGGGCCACAGGGCAAGAGTCCATGAACCCTTAGAGGGACATGTGTTCTCAAATTCTCTGGGAGCAGATGTGCACATTCCGTAGCACAGTGTCCACTATGTCAGGGGAGAAAACCTCCCTGATCTGTACTTATCATCAAAGCTAAGGGAGATGGCGTGTGCACCTCCATGGGGTGGGGGGGCTGGTGGCCTCCAGCATGGCCATCCTGGCCTGGTGACCCAGCCTCTACAGCTCCTCTTGCTCACCTCTGGTGGCATTGCTGTTGGTATAGGTGAAGATGCTTGCCTGGGTGCTGTCCTCATAGCTGTCCTGTGTCTGTCCACCTGCAAGCCTTTGGGGGCCCCAGTGTTGCGCCATGGCTGTACAAAGTCCTGTCCCGGATGCCCGCCAGGCTTGGCATGCTGCCTAGGGGGTCATGGCACTTTATACCAGACTGCGGGATCAGCCTGGGCCTCCTCACCTTGAAAGCTCCCAAACCCTTCACCATCTGATCTCTTAATTGGGCCCAGTACTTAGACCGCCCCCTCCCACTCCTCACTCCCCTGCTTCTGAGGCTATCCTACAAGGGTGGCTCAGAGGGATTTGCAGGCAGCCAGACTCAGATCCCCCCACTTTGGGCTCACAAAGCTGCCTGTGCTGTGGCCCTTGCTCATGTTCGGGGATTTTAGGTTGGGGTGGGGCTGAGGAAGCCTTCCCAAGCCCAAATCTGCCTCTCTCAAAAGCGCTGGGAGAACTTTCAGGGCTGAGGTCTGGAACTGGTCCTTCTTGAAGGAAAGAACATCTCAGTGGGCCAAATGGGTACAGCATATAGCGGGGCCCCCCGAGAGTGAGAGGCAGGCTATGGCTGGGTAGACTTGGGGGACAGGTCCACCAGCATCTTGCTTTCAGCTTCTACCCTCCCGTTTGTTCCCCATGAGCTGTAGCTCCTTCTGTCACCGGGTTGCTGCAAGCCCTCCCCCTCCCAGCAGCCCTGATGCAGCACCTGAGGGTGTCCACAAAGTGCTTCCCTCCTGCCTGCCTGCCTGCCTGCTCAAGTTCACAACCTTTCCTTGAGTTGACCTTGACCACAGCCTCCTTACTGACAGTGTTCTGGGCAGGCTGCCTCCATTGTCCCTCTTCACCCACAGCAGTCTGGCTGCTGCTGGCTGTAAGCTTGGCAGGACCAACGATCACCTGTGCATCACCCAACTGGTGACCTTCATATCCACAATTCTCAGTGCCATGATTCTCCAGCACTTCTGGCTCCATGCTGCCAAACTGAAGGCCGGAGCCAAGTGAAGCCACTGCTTGGCCACCCATAGAAAGAATGGCTCCTAGAACCAGTTGGTGTATGCCACATGCCAGGTGCCAGGCTAGGGGCTCTATGTGGAATGGCCACAGCTTTTCCAGGGCCCATCAGCAGCCTGGAAAACTTGTCCACACAAAAACTTGTACATGCATATTCATAGCAACACTATCCACAAGAGGCCAAAAAGTAGAAACAACTGAAATATTCATCAAGAGATGAATAAATAAAAATGTGGTCTATCCTTATAAAGGAATATTATTCAGCCATAACAAGGAGTGGAGTACTGCGCCATACTGTAGTGTAAATAAAATTTTCATATGCTCATTTTTTTATTTTATTGCATTCTGCTCTTTTAAAAACATTATTAGCATATAAAAGTTGTACGGAGGGGTTTCATTGTGACATTTCCATATCTGCTTGCAATGTACGTTGGTTAGATTCATCCCTCCTACATTCTTAAAGCAATTTCAACACCTTTCCTTGTTCTATTTCCATACAGATATGTGAAGTCCATATTGGCCCTCTCCGCTCACCCCCCCATCAGCACCCACCAGCAAACAGGACACCTGTTTCACATTCCCGTCCTTCGTTGTTAAGTGTATATTATTTGTTCATAGGGGTTTCCCTGTGGTAGTTCACACATGCATAGGCGGTACTTTAATCACATTAGCCCCCCCTCTATTACTGTCTCTTTCCCATTCCCCCAGCCCCTATTATTTAACTGCTTTCAGTCTGTGTTGTTATGCCATCTCCACACAGAGATGCGACCTCTTTCGGTATTACTCACTCTCTCTGGATGAATCTTGAAATGTTATTGAAATGAAAGAAGCCAGAGACAAATGGCCTTCTATTGTATGATTCCATTCTATGAACTGTCCAGAATAAGCACATCCATTGGGATGGAAAGCAGATTAGTCATTGCGAGGACATGAGAAGAGGAGAAAGGGTTCCCTGTGCTTTGTGAGCGATGGAAGTGTTCTAAAGGTAGAGTGTGACACTGCCACCACTGTGTAAAACAGCTCCTCAAAAAATTAATCATGGAACCATCGCTTGACCCAGAAGACTTGAAAGCAGTGTCTCAGAGAGAAAGTTGTACAGCCATGTTGACAGCAGCATCAGTCACAACAGCCAAGATGCAGGCTCGATCCAAGCACGGCATGTCCACACAATGGCTTATTACTCAACCTGAAAAAGGGAGGAAACTCAGACACATGTCACAACATGGATGAATTCTGAGGACATGATGCTCAGCGGAATGAAGTGAGCCAGGCACAAAGAGATGAACACTGTCTGATTCCACTCGTAGAGGTGTCCAGAATAGTCAGTCATAGCAGGGGCTGGGGAGCGGGAGGGAGGAATTGGGGTCAGTGTTTAATGCACACAGGCTTTCAGTCTTGCATGATGAACAAGTTCTGGAGATGGATGGAGGTGACAGTTGCACAACAGTGTGAATGTGTTTAATATTCTTGAAAATGATAAAGATGATGGATTTTGTTATATGTATGTTATCACAACGTAGCCAGTGTCAAAAGCAAATGGTTTCTTGTCCTATAAGTGCTAAAAAGCAAAGCCCCGACCTTCTGGCTGGAGCTGAGGGCTGAATGAAGGTGACTCTCAGAACTCCTAATAAGCTCTCTTTCTTGGAGTCACTGAGGAGTAGTCGGTGCAACTCAGGGCACAGACTCAATACCACCAAGTGTCTTTCTCTGCCTGTCTTTCAGCTAAGTGCTCTTTCAGGTTCCCCCTGCAGGCAGACCTTCCTGACACCTCTGGCCTTGAAACCCCTGCTCTGTAGCCCCCTTTCTGGGCCACACCAGGCAGCCATAGCTGCCTGAAATTTTGCAGGCTTTGGCTGTGCTTCACCTGGAACTTTCTACTCGAGCCATCACCATAACATCCAGGGCAGCCATGTTGTTCGGAAGCCCTTTGTGAAGGTGAAGTGCTACCTAAGTGGGGGTCTGAGTGGGGGAAGCCTGCAGCCCTGCTTGAGCTCTGGAGCTGGCTTTGCATTTGCCTTGCCTACTCTATGTGACATTACAGTAATGACGGAGCTCAGTGTGGTCTCAGCAATGGCCAGGGCCAGACATGAAGCAGCCCCAAGATCCTAGGAATGAGAGCAGAGGTGGCAGGGGCAGGAAGACATGGGAAAAGGCGGTGATTTCCAGGCCGTCCCCATCCCTGCACAGCTGGGTGCTAATTGATGATTAGGGCTAACAGAAGATCAAGTCCTGATTTAGCCCAAAGCAGATTACTGCCCTAGAAAGTCCCCAGGCACCTGTGAGGGCACGTGGGCTCCCTAGCTCTAGTGAAAGCTCATTGGGGGGTCCCACACTCTTGCAAAAAGGTGGATGAAAGAGAGGGGTCCCTGGAGAGAGAGTTGAGGAACAAGGAGGTGGGGTGAAATGTGGGTGGAGAGGAGCAAGAGGGGCAGTGGGGACAGAGAAAAAGCTGGGTTGTCAGTGCCCTCTGCTCTGCCCTACTCCAGTGACTCCCACCCTTGCTGCCAGCTGGATCCCTGGCCAGGCTGGAAGAGTAGATGTCACACTTGTCTCCAATCCGACTACTCCAGACTCCACAAGAGAGCGAGCTTATTAGGAGTTCTGGGGTCTGCCTGTCACCTTCATTCAGCTCTCAGCTCCATGAGCTTTGTCATTGACAGCCAGTGGCTGATACAGGTAGTCAAGGAAGCACTTGGCTATTTGCCTTTGACATTTTCAACACTGTGGCAAAATATACACAACATAATTTGCCTTCTTCACCATTTTAAGCACATTGACATTGTTGTGTGGTCACCACCGCCCATCTCCAGAACGTTTTTCATCATGCAACTCTGAAGCTTGGCACCCATTAATCAGCAACTCCTTCCTTCTCCTCCACTCAGCCCCTAGCAACCATCACTCTACTTTGTACAAATATGGCTACACTAGGGACTTCTAGAAATGGAATCCAACAGTATTTGTCCTTTCATGCCTGGGTTTTTTCACTGAGCATCATATCTTAGAGAACATCCATGCTTTTCACTTCATATTTGGAATAAGTTTATATCCACTGAATTTTAATTTTTATGTGGTTAAGTTTGACTAGGTGTCTTTTCTTTTTTGGTTTCTGGCTTCCCTATCTTGTTTGAAAAGGCCCCTCCACCCTGTGTTCCTCAGACATCCGTAAACATGTACCCTATGAAAAGATGAGGGTTGGACCACTTCACCATCTCTGTGACTGTCCCACTGTGTCCTACCTACATGGCTCACCTCAGAACTGACAACTGTTGGATTTCTTTCAACCCTTCAGCTGTCGGGTTCCCAAACCTGCTGATGTTTCCTCTTCGGTCACACAAGTGCAGCCTGTCTGCTGCGGGCCTCCTAAGACCCTGGACTTCTGGCTGCTGCCACATCCACACTCTGTGACTCTGAGCAAGGTGGTCACCACCTGTAGGGTGCCATGTCCTCATCAGGAAGACAGAGATGACAAGTACTTCCAGAAAGGCTTAGATGAGATCATCCTTTCGTACAGAAAATTCAGTCAACAACTCATTCAACACGTACTTACTGGGGACCTATTGGAGCACTGATCTAGGTCCCCAGGGTACATTTGGAAACCCATGGAAAATGGAGGTCCTTTCTCTCTTGCAGCGGCAGCTTCCATTCTAGTGGGGGAGACACACAGGAACACCACAAATTAAATAAGTGCGGATAAGCAGGGTGGAGATCAGGACAAGGAAAGAGGACATGGAGGTTGGGGTGCCATGGCGGGAAGGGGATGAATGCCCATTTTTGTAGGGCATGGGGGTGGGCCTCTAAAAAAGGGAGCAGACACTTAAAGAAGGGACAGAGGGGGCACAGAGCCATACAGAGATTGAATAAGGAGTCCCAGGAAAGGGACCAGAAGTGCAAAGGATGATGCCTGGCCTTTCAAGGAACAGCAAGGGGACCAGCGTGGTTGGAGCACACTGGGGGAGTGAGTGGGAGGAGGAAAGGCTGCAGGGGATGCAGGCTCAATCGTGTTCACCTTAGGACCGTATTTAGCACGTGTGTTTTCCCTTTGAATGAAATAGGGAGCATTGTATGATCTTGCAAGATCCCCTTTGAAATTATTTTCATGAAATTATTTTATGCTGATTGTACATTTCCGTACATACATATGGCATATTTGATC